TGAAGACCCACAACAGGTCCGTCTGCTTCAAGGCTGGACCTGTGGTAGTTCTGAAGACCCACAACAGGTCCGTCTGCTTCAAGGCTGGACCTGTGGTAGTTCTGAAGACCCACAACAGGTCCGTCTGCTTCAAGGCTGGACCTGTTGTGGGTCCAGAGATGGTTCTGCAGACCTTTGTTTGGAACAAGTGGAGATCTGCTGTTCCCTCTGTCAGCTCCAAACCGGTCTGCCTGCTCTCCTCTGACATCAACAAGGCTGGTTGGTCSTCAGAAACTCTCACTGGATATTTTCTCTTTTTGGACCATTCTCTGTAAACCTTTAAGCTGGTTTAGTAAAAATCCTCACAGATGATCMGGCTACATTCAGAGTCACTCAAATCTTTTTTTTTTTCTGGTTCTGGTGCTCATTTTGAACTTCACCAACTCGTCTTCAACACCTCTCGGCTGATTAGCTGTTTGTAGTAATTAAACAGGTGGACATAATAAAGTGGRTGGTCAGTGTAAGCTATCAGTCAGTGTGTCTTCATATATCTGTTCCACAAAGTTGTAGAGAAGTGAAAAGGACTGAACTAGTAACATACTGATAATATTTTATACTGTTTGATTACGTCTCTATATGTGTAGATTAATTTGAAAATAATTAAATCAGTGCCATGATAAAATGTGCAGTCTGCTTCAGATTTGTTTGAAAAAAAAAGTATGACTGAAAATAGAAAACACTTTTCGAGCGTGCAGAGTACAAGCAGTACCTCAGGTGAAGTTAAACTGACAGGAAGGTGCGTCTACATAGTGTCCTATTCTTCTCTGTGGACTTTGCTCATGTCTTCCACACTCCCAGGTAGTTGGCACATTGCATTTCGGCCACTCGCGTGGTGCTTCCTTCTCGGCCGGTGCTCTGAGAACCAGTTGGAGACGCTCATGGCGAGGCGCAGGAAGCCCAGCCGGATGCAGTGCATTTCTGAGGTGATGGGAATGTCAGAAAAAAAGGCATTGTTCTGGACCAAATGGGCAGCGTTGCGTTCAAAGTCTTTGACGACGTTAAGGATCTCCTGCCGCTCCGCCTGCCGCATCATCCCTCGCACGTTGAGCAAGGCGGAGACGTGCTTCTTCCTGCAGGGCGGAGGACACGAGAAGGAAAGACCGGTGTTTAGGGGAATTCATGCTGTCAGGACCTGTTCTGACTTTGAGTAACACCTTACTGACTCATTTGATCGGTTTCTGGGAAGGAAAAGATTTGAGAGAGACAGTTATTATCTTAAAGGGATGGAAATATTTGTGACGCCATATTTTCGTACTTGCTTGAGAGAAATATATACTTTAATCCAGGGTTTAGGATTATAGAATGGTCTGGAGGATGATCTTAAAAATGCCAGATCTATGTATATACAGGTGCAGGTCATAAA